AATTCACTTAGGCCATTGAGGTTTATGAGCCTAATTTGAGTAATTAAGTGCTATAATTATTGTCTTGATCTATTTTGAGACATTAAGAATTAAGGATTTAATTGTTATTTTGACAATTAAGAATTACAAACTATTGTTTAAGTTGATTAATTTTTAATCTATCAATAGTTTCAGGGCCTTAATAATAATATTAAGTCTTTAATTTATGGAAAAAACAATATAATTGGAATATTGTTAGAATAATGGTAATTTGGTTATTACCTAACTTCAGTCTCCTTAAGTATCATAATAGTCATGATTAATTATTATGTGGTAAAATTGAGATTAAGTATTTGACATCCCTTAATTACAGTTTTGTCACTTATTGAGCTAAATTTTGCATTATTAATTACTGTTATTAAGTTTAGGGGCTAATCTCATTTTATTACTTTCCATAATAATTATTAATGGTAATATGCTATATTTGGTATATTGGTAAGATTACCACTTCATTTTACATGACTATTAATGTTGGTAATTAAGTCCTACCAATAAATTTTTTAAATGTACCATTGGACGCTGCATCGAGGCTACTGACACTGACAGTGAAGATGAGAGAACTTTGGTGTTTTTTCTTCTCTTGTGGATCATCATTGTTGTTAGCGCAATGGAGAGATGCGGTTTACATCATTAAGGTTAGTCATTAATTATCTTTTACGGTTATTATTGATAATTAGTGCTACAGTTACAGTTAACCGCTAATTTGGACTAGTCGCATATTTTGTCTTTAGTAAAATGGAAACATTTAAAGGTGCATTACCATACTTTAGTTTGTCGTTATTAATAATGTTTATAGTGATTATAATGTTACTTATTGCTATAAATAATTAATTAATGATAACATTAATATTGTTATGGTATTTAGATATGTAGCTTGAATTGTTTCCAAATAAATTTATGTGATAATATTCCTGTGCAGAAAATAATTTTCTTGACATTAATGTTTTTCGGACTTCAAATTTTATTGAGTTTTCAAAATTTTATCCGAAAACATTTTTTAAGAGTTAGTGGTTTTGACCATTGTTTTTTCATATTTAGTCTCCTACTTAATGTAATAATATTATTATGGTTATTTATTGCTATTTTGGTTATTTGCAATTTTGCCATTAATAATAATAATATTATCAACTGGGTTATGGAGAGTGATTTTGAATCAATTTAGTAATATTGGAAAAACATATTTGCTAGGCAATTGACTTTTGCCATTAATTCCATAATTCATTTAGTTCTTTGAATTATGATTTCCCATATTTGATTAAGTATGAATAAATGAATATTTGGTTTAAATTCATATCATTTAGTTAGTTCATACTCCTTAGATTGTTTTATGCATTCGATCACATTAAGTGCATAATATTAAGTTTAATTATGCAATTAGGGTTTGTGAGATTTTGATTTACAAATTATAGCATATCCTTTTGGTTTGATATTGTTTGAATTTGTAAATTTTCAGTTATTTCTCATGAATTTGATCTTCATGCATTAAAACATTTTACCATGGGCTTACAGTTTAAAAATTTTAAAGTATATATTCAGTACATTATTATTCAACATATTGAGTCTCTTTTGGTTTGGACTCATTGGTGTTTGAATATTAAGTTTATACTTTAAAATCTCATATCGTAAATTGCTTTAAGTTATGCAGTTTATTTGGAATATATATGAGTTTAATGTTTAATTTTATGCATATTTGTCCTAAGCATACTATTTTGTTTTAAATTATGCAATTTTATTATGCCTTTAGCAATGCATATTTTGCGATAAAATTATATTAGTTCCTATTTAAGTTGGACTTATGCATAAACTTTAGTTCCGGTAGTGCCTAAATTTAAGTACGTTTAGTCCGCTAATTTAGTTCACCTTTTAAGCTTCAATCATAGGTGAACCTTACAGTTTTCTGGTGTATACCCTACAGTTTTAGGTTCATACCCCCAAACAGTTATACATTAAGTATATATGAATCAGGGAGACATACTAGTTTTAATGGCCATGAGTTAAGGACATCTCGAGCCGCTAGTCTCCTTACAGTAATACTCTATTTAAGGAATTGGTTTTCAGTGAGACTTAGTCTCTAACCACCTTTCCTTGGAGTATATTTAGATTTTCCCATCACATTCTGTATAATCTGTTTGTCAAAATTTTAAGTATTCCTTGCCAATGTGATTTTATTTCGGTTCATTAAAGAATAGCCAATGCATCCTTAATTTACTGAAATATCTTGAGTTTTCAATCTTGGTTAATTAAGAAAATGCTACGGCATATTCAGCTACCTAAGATTATTAAGTTTTAATCACATAAAGTTTAGGCAAGGAATTGATAATTGTCTAGTGATCTTATAATTTTAATTTGGTTTGGGAGTAGCCACAGCATCCTTAATCTGTTAAAATTATATATTAAGCGGTTTATTTTGATCACATAAAGTTTTGGACATATCATTTGTGATTAATTGTATGTAATATGATAAAATTTAGCCAACAAGCAATTTCGTTATATTTGTATGATTAATCAGGATGAAATACTGGACTACGGTCATAATTTAGCCCACAGGCAATTATGTATCGGAATGTAGTTTAGTAGTTTTATCAGTGATGATAGAAATAAATCAATTTATTTACTTTATGGTTATTTGTAAATAATTTCCAATTCTATCATGAAGTTTAATTTTATGATGTAAACTTTAGATCATATTTCTTAATTTGCCCATAGGGATCGGATTAAGAAAAGGAACATGATTTATTAACTTTTATCATAAGGGTTGTAATGAATCTTATTGAATAGAACTTTAGCCTACAGGCAAGTTTTATATCATTTGATTCTTCAACTCATTTGATAAATTGTTTCATCATAAATAAAATTTTTCAGTTAGGATCTAATTGAGTAAAACTTTAGCCCACAGGCAAGTTTTAGGTCACTAGATTCTTCTGGCTCTTTAGTAATTGTGAAAAATATTATCATAAGGGTTTCTTAATTGGATTTAATAGAATTAAAACTTTAGCCCAAAGGCAAGTTTTATGTCAATAAATCCCACCACCCATTAGATGATAATTTTATCACAATTTCTTAGAGTTATAAATTCAGTTCAATTATAATTCTAAGTTTCATGATTTGCATTGGCAAAACATGTTTTTCAGTCACTTCCTAAAATTTAGTTACTTCTATTAATTAATCCACGAATCTTGCTCGGTTTTTCGGACTACCTGTAGTAAGTTACGTGATTTGACATACCTCTTGGATTCCAATAATGTTAAAATGTATCTTTTGAGCCAAATTCTAACTTGGTTTTGAAAGATGTATTTTGTTTTTTTTAGTTGTCGAACTATGGTGGGGAATTATATCTTCATTATTTAGTTGGACTTTAATTGGAACCAAAAATTGATTATTTAGTATGTCCAACTAATGGTGGGCAATTATGTCTTCATTTGTTAGTTGGTCAATAAATCAATTATGAGTATGTATATTATTAAGTTCACTTTATTAATTTTATTGAATAATATTTTAATCAGTGGGAGTGATCATTTAGAAAAAGATCATTAAGTTACTCCACCAAAGATTTTGGATTTAATTATTGTATTCATACATTCCAAATTGGGTTGTATGTTAGACAATAAGTCCAAAAGATTCCACAAGTATTAATCTTGTATTTGTTCATATAAACTCATAAGTTCAAATTATTGAACATTCGGTTGTGTAACATATTTATGAAAATGTTGCAACTGTATTAAGGAATTTATTAGAACAAAAGCATTTAACTTGTGGTGCACTGTAATTTAATAAATTCTTCAGTGATTAATAGAGTCTTTAGTTTCTTCAAAATTGATCCTGAACCATTTTGGTTTGTAAGGCTCAAAGATATTTTGTGAGACATATAAGTAAGACTCATTATGTTCAGTTCATTTAAAGTGAACATTGAAGTTATTTGGGAAGTTATGGTGTATGATTAAGATTCCAAATTTATGGACTTAGAACCTTTCGTTTATTGTCTAAGTTATTGGAATGCTTCTGTGACTTGACTATCTTTTGGCTATTTTTGATGAGTGGGAGTGACAGACGTGTCAACTCCAAGCTCTTAGCCGTTAGAGATAGTACTTAAAGTTAACTTATAAAGAAGTCATAGAATATAGTTAGCATTATGCTAACATTAAGAGATCTCTACTTAAGGCATGCTTATAAAGTTTTAGAGATCATACAGTGTACTCTTTTGTACAATTTGGATGTGTTTTCTTCTTCAGTTGTGCACATAATGTATTTTGAGAAACATCTCTTAAGGTACCGAGAATAAACATAGGGTTTGTTCATTAAGGACCTAAGTTGGAGAATTAAAATGCATGTGACCATAATGGACACTACTCTGATTAAATACAGGACATGTCACTATGATTCGTGTGTTTTGTTCTTTGATAAAGGTTGTGCTAGTACTTGCATCAAGTGGGAGAATGTAAGATTTTCCCTAATAATAATATATATTATATATTATATATTAGGGCCTTAATTAAGTGATGCAAGTTGACTAGGCTTATTAAGCGGTCTGGTTGGACTTAATAACTAGTAGTTGTTAGTCAACCAAACTCTGTGCCTAATATAATCCTGGATTGATGGGATACAGGATGATGATGTTAGCACATTCAGTTACGGTACTCAGACTGCTCAGTAGATACCAATACACCATCTAGGGTTCTGAGTTAGGTCTGAGGCAAAACATGGCTAACGGTCTACCGTTGAGAGGCAACACAACAGGAACATCAACTATGGCTGGAGATCTACATGGCTACGCTTTCGCTATCATACGAGGTCAGGTTTCTCGTATACTATGGTTTATTATAGTTAGACTATTGTATATCTAACATGACTTCCAATAGTTTTTTTTTTTTTTTTAAATTGAATTGAATCAACATCCATATATGCATGAAACAATATTTGTTTCATGATAATACATTTATATTCTTTTTATATAATGCAATGTCTGCATTTCACAAGATCATAATAATCATGAAAGAAAATTGCCTTTAATATGGTTTTTCGCCCATATAGTTACCCGGAGGGTAATAGTTGCAGGAGACAAACATCCAACCAGTTTTGCACGTAACCCTAGCACAGCCAATACTCGTGCTACCGCCCCAAACCGCCTGCGTATAATGGTGGCACTTCATGCCGCCGATGCATGAATTCGATTTGTGGTCATAGTCCTTCTTCTCATCCATCCACGACTTCACGGCATCCGCCGGAGACAATTCGGCAGAGGCCAACGCAATGTTTTCCCCATACTCCTGGTTATGAGAGTGCTGCAGCGCACAGTCAGCAGACCTCTTGGCGGCATAGGATTCGGCGAAGTCTGCTACGGTGGAGTTCCAGTGAACAGGTGGAGAGCCAACAGTTTGTCAGGCCGCGTTATGTGCAGCAAAAAATCCTTTAACGCAATCAGAGTCACAGGCAGATTGTATGAAAGATGTTTGGGCAATGGCGGCAAAGGTAATTATGGCAATGGTGAGCTGCAGAAAAGAAAACTCCATTTCCTATTAATTGTGATTTGCTGCAATAAAAAAGGAAAAGTAAGAGGAAATGGAAAAAATGTGTCTCTATCTGCAGAGATGCGAGTTCCAATAGTTATTACTTTGCATTCATGTTATTTATTCAATTTATTTATATATACAAATTACCCTCAAGAAATCGAGGCCAAATTTTTTTTGTATACATTCATGTTGGTGTAAATTACTATTGGGTTGGGGCTTCCCTCCTATGTGGTAAATAGCTCATTTTGGACCAAGCCTATTCCATTGCAATATTTGTTAGCTTGATGGAAAAGTTTGCTGACAATTGTTTGGGTTGGAGAATGGGTTATTGGGTAGAAGTTGAAGGGTGGAAGTTAGAGTGAAGGAATTTGGGTGGAAGTTGGAGAGAAGAGTTTTTGGGTGGAAGTTGGAGATAAGAGTTTTTGGGTTGAAGTTGGAGAACAAAGTAGATGAGATAACTTCCCTGCACTTGTTTTCTTCCCTCCTTTCCCATGTCGGCAGTAAACATTATAAAAGGGGGATGAACTCATTTGTTTACTGCCATCACCACACACTTCCATAAACTTCTACATTACACATTTATTCCTTTTCTTTTCGGCACAAGCAGTAGGCATAGAGAGAAGAAAAAATATATTTTTCTTCTTCTTCCTTTTCACGGCCGTATGCAGCAGTTGAAGGAGCAACATCTATTTCTTCCACTTTTTGTGCTACTTTGTCGTGGGTTTGCCTAGCTTGTTTGGTGGCACGGTGGCGGCGTGTGTCGGCAGGTTTTGTTGCACGTCTGATGAATTTACCGTGAGTTTGCCGGAGATCTTTGGGGTACTTTTCTTCATCAAATATTTGTAGAAGCCAGTGTTTGTTCCAGGCATCATCGTTTTGGGTAAGCTCGCAATATTTGTATTCTATTCACCTTGTTCGTGGTGGTTGAATATTTTGAGTACGAGTTGGCATCCCTTTTTAGGCCTGTGAACGTGATAGATTGTATTTGGCCTAGTTGTTGTATTTGATGATTTTTAGGGTGTTTGGCTCGGGTGGTAGCCAGCAACTTTGTACCCAAGATTTGTTATAGTGGAATATTGTGTTGGTGGTGGTCCGTGGTTTTTCCCCGTGGTTTTGGGGTTTTCCACGTAAATCTTGTGTCCCTTGTGTCTGTTAATTATTTTGGCTGTTTTGTACCATCTCGTATTTGCGCTCTTGTCGGTCCTGTGATTTTATTTGTCACAGGTGGTGGGATTTTTCCCAACAAAGTGGTATCAGAGCCCTTGGTTGTTGATCAGGCACATTTGACATGGAGGCAAATACGATAAATATGGTGCGGTTGAACGGTAGAAATTTTCACATTTGGAAGGCCAAGATGAAGGATCTCCTGTTTCTGAAGAAGTTACATCTACCTGTGTTTGCAAGTGCAAAGCTAGCAAATATGTCAGACGAGGAGTGGGACTTTGATAACCAACAAGTTTGTGGTTATATTCGACAATGGGTCGCAGACAATGTTCTGAACCATGTTATTAATGAGACGAATGCCAGGAGCCTGTGGGATAAGCTTGAGACCCTGTATGCTTCCAAGACAGGCAATAACAAGCTGTTCTTGTTGAAGCAGTTGATGAATTTAAGATACAGGGAAGGTACGTTGATCAATGATCATGTTAATGATTTTCAGGGTGTTCTTGATCAGTTGTCAAGCATGGGCATCACATTTGAGGATGATGTACTTGGTCTTTGGTTACTTAACACTCTACCTGATTCTTGGGAAACATTTCGGGTTTCTTTGACCAATTTTGCTCCCAACGGCGTTGTGACCATGGAGTATGTCAAGAGTGGTATCTTGAATGAAAAAGCAAGAAGAAGATCTCAAGACACCTCCACTTCTCAGTCAGAGATTTTGGTTACAGAAGATATGGGGAGAAACAAGCAAAAGGGTCAGAAGGGTAGAGATGTTATATGTCATTATTGTGGCAGGAGAGGACATATCAAGAAACATTGCTTCAAGTTGAAAAGAGACAAGGAGCAAGATGATGATGATGCCACCGGAAACCAAGTTGCAATAGTTGGAGGAGATTTACTTTTCGTATGCGATGAGAATGCCAACAATGTTGCTTGCCATGAGACAACTTGGATTGTGGATTCAGGTGCAGCCTACCATGTTACACCAAGGAAGGAATTCTTTGCTTCATATACTCCAGGTGATTTTGGAGAGCTAAGAATGGGTGATGATGGTCAGGTGAAGGTGATTGGTACCGGTACAGTTTGTCTTGAGACCAGCAATGGCACAAAGCTGGTACTTAAAAATGTAAAGCATACACCGGGTATCAGACTGAATCTTATTTCTACTGGAAATCTTGATGATGATGGTTTCTGCTGTTTCTTTGGTGATGGACAGTGGAAAATTGCTCAAGGCTCGCTGGTTGTTACACAAGGTAACAAGTTTTCTAACTTGTACTCTTTGCAAGGCTCTATTTCTGGTGGTTCAGTGAATGTGGCAACAAAGGAATGTGCATCAGATTTGATACATTCTAATGTGTATGGACCAATGGAAGTTAGGTCACTTGACGTTTGTTGCTGTATCGCCGGGACGGCGATATCCTCCACATAGTCGGGAGGGGGAGATTTGTTGGGTTGGGGCTTCCCTCCTATGTGGTAAATAGCTCATTTTGGACCAAGCCTATTCCACTGCAATATTTGTTAGCTTGATGGAAAAGTTTGCTGACAATTGTTTGGGTTGGAGAATGGGTTATTGGGTAGAAGTTGAAGGGTGGAAGTTAGAGTGAAGGAATTTGGGTGGAAGTTGGAGAGAAGAGTTTTTGGGTGGAAGTTGGAGAGAAGAGTTTTTGGGTTGAAGTTGGAGAACAAAGTAGATGAGATAACTTCCCTGCACTTGTTTTCTTCCCTCCTTTCCCATGTCGGCAGTAAACATTATAAAAGGGGGATGAACTCATTTGTTTACTGCCATCACCACACACTTCCATAAACTTCTACATTACACATTTATTCCTTTTCTTTTCGGCACAAGCAGTAGGCATAGAGAGAAGAAAAAATATATTTTTCTTCTTCTTCCTTTTCACGGCCGTATGCAGCAGTTGAAGGAGCAACATCTATTTCTTCCACTTTTTGTGCTACTTTGTCGTGGGTTTGCCTAGCTTGTTTGGTGGCACGGTGGCGGCGTGTGTCGGCAGGTTTTGTTGCACGTCTGATGAATTTACCGTGAGTTTGCCGGAGATCTTTGGGGTACTTTTCTTCATCAAATATTTGTAGAAACCAGTGTTTGTTCCAGGCATCATCGTTTTGGGTAAGCTCGTAATGTTTGTATTCTATTCACCTTGTTCGTGGTGGTTGAATATTTTGAGTACGAGTTGGCATCCCTTTTTAGGCCTGTGAACGTGATAGATTGTATTTGGCCTAGTTGTTGTATTTGATGATTTTTAGGGTGTTTGGCTCGGGTGGTAGCCAGCAACTTTGTACCCAAGATTTGTTATAGTGGAATATTGTGTTGGTGGTGGTCCGTGGTTTTTCCTCGTGGTTTTGGAGTTTTCCACGTAAATCTTGTGTCCCTTGTGTCTGTTATTTATTTTGGCTGTTTTGTACCATCTCGTATTTGCGCTCTTGTCACAGGTGGTGGGATTTTTCCCAACAATTACACACTAATAATCCCAATATATATACAATCACCAACTAATATTTTTTTTCGATTGAAATGGATTATTACTGAGTGTTGGCGTCTCTCCTAATGGTAAATTATTCTGTGAACCCAGGTCCACTTTGCAAGGTGGACCCGCGTCCTAAAGTACACAATTTACATATTGAATGATCACAATTTATATACTAGATGTTCACAATTAAAGATCAAATAATCAAGTGTTCAAGCTAAGCTAAAGTGGACTGAAGATCAAGTCAATTAAAGACCGGATGTCCTTCAACGAAGATTAAGCAACAAAGCCCTTCATTGACGAATAAGTCGCATTCCGGAAGCCCTTCAGCTAAATTTTCAAGTCAAGTGGAGAATTAGAGGATTTCTTGATAGAGATTTTATACCCGCACAACTTTTGAATTTTAAATATATATACATTGTTCAACTTTTTCTTTTTCAATTTTTATGAATTATCTTGTTAATGTAGTTTAGAAGTTCTATTGTCTGTCATCGTATTTAAATTAATGTTGAAAAACTTGAAATTAATCTAACTAAAAGACAAAGTATTTATAAATATAATACCAATATAGAAGATATGTGATTTATAATGTGTTTTTTATTCGAACTATTTTATCAAATTAATTGTGTTTCATATTTTATTATGAATATTTTTTATCACATTTAAAGTGTTTTGATTTATTGTTCTCAATAATTAAGATTTAATGCTCTGATCTTGTTTATAAGTTTTGTTTTATAACTTTTTAATAATAATTACTTTATTTTTTTATAATAATAATAACAATGTGATTGCATATAAATTTATTTGGTTTCAAATTGTTTACTCGTTTTTATAAACTATAATTGTTTATTTATGAAAGCATTGATGCAGTTATTGATTATTTTGGATTTAGGAAAACATATAGAATTGTTTTCATGTGTATGTAAAATAGTTTAAAAACGTTTTAATCTTATTTCGAGTTATTTGACATTAGTATTTTCAATGGCCAAATTTTGGGACATGCAAGATGGGCAACAACATAGGACCTCAATTTTTAGAGGGCCTAATATTTACACCGTCTATACTTATCTGAAATAAAAATCATATATTTTACAAATAGGAAGTGTGATTTTTGGCATTCAACTAATGTTACACCGTTCGTACTTATTTGAAATAAAAATCTTATATTTTACAGTATTAGTTTTAAAACTTGCGCTTATACTTTTGCAACAAAAATAAAAATAA